CACCAGAGCATACCTAGATACTTTCCCCTGTACACCAGAGCATACCTAGATACTTTCCCCTGTACACCAGAGCATACCTAGATACTTCCCCCCATACACCAGAGCATACCTAGATACTTTCCCCTATACACCATAGTATACCTTGATACTTACCCCTATACACCAGATCATACCTAGATACTTTCCCCTATACACCAGAGCATACCTAGATACTTTCCCTATACACCAGAGCATACCTAGATACTTTCCCCTGTACACCAGAACATACCTAGATACTTTCCCCTGTACACCAGAGCATACCTAGATACTTTCCCCTGTACACCAGAACATACCTAGATAATTTCCCCCATACACCAGAACATACCTAGATACTTTCCCCTGTACACCAGAGCATACCTAGATACTTTCCCCTGTACACCAGAGTATACCAAGATACTTTCCCCTATACACCAGAGCATACCTAGATACTTTCCCCTGTACACCAGAGCATACCTAGATACTTTCCCCCATACACCAGAACATACCTAGATACTTTCCCCATACACCAGAGCATACCTAGATACTTTCCCCCATACACCAGAGCATACCTAGATACTTTCCCTATACACCAGAGCATACCTAGATACTTTCCCCTGTACACCAGAGCATACCTAGATACTTTCCCTATACACCAGAGCATACCTAGATGTTTTCCCCCATACACCAGAGCATACCTAGATACTTTCCCCTGTACACCAGAACATACCTAGATACTTTCCCCTGTACATCAGAGCATACCTAGATACTTTCCCCTATACACCAGAGTATACCTAGATACTTTCCCCTGTACACCAGAGTATACCTAGATACTTTCCCCTATACACCAGAGCATACCTAGATACTTTCCCTATACACCAGAGCATACCTAGATACTTTCTCCTGTACACCAGAACATACCTAGATGCTTTCCCCCATACACCAGAGCATACCTAGATACTTTCTTCTATACACCAGAGTATACCTAGATACTTTCCCCTGTACACCAGAACATACCTAGATACTTTCCCCTGTACACCAGAGCATACCTAGATACTTTCCCTATACACCAGAGCATACCTAGATACTTTCCCTATACACCAGAGCATACCTAGATACTTTCCCCATACACCAGAGCATACCTAGATACTTTCCCCTATACACCAGAGCATACCTAGATACTTTCCCTATACACCAGAGCATACCTAGACACTTTCCCCTATACACCAGAGCATACCTAGATACTTTCCCCTGTACACCAGAGTATACCTAGATACTCTCCCCCATACACCAGAGCATACCTAGATACTTTCCCCTATACACCAGAGCATACCTAGATACTTTCTTCTATACACCAGAGCATACCTAGATACTTTCCCCTATACACCAGAACATACCTAGATACTTTCCCTATACACCAGAGCATACCTAGATACTTTCCCTATACACCAGAGCATACCTAGATACTTTCCCCTATGCACCAGAGCATACCTAGATACTTTCCCCTATTCACCAGAACATACCTAGATAATTCCCATCAAGCAGAGCATACCTAGATACACCCTATAAACCACAGCATACTTAAATACACCCTATCCGGAAGACGTGTTATGAAAATAAAGGTTTATCTTCGTTTCTGACAAGGCCGCTGAATTAAAATGAAAACATGTAAACTAAATTTTCAAATAAAATGTTAAAAATATCTTTAAAGTATCGTCTGTTGTGGAATAGCCTACATGTTTCTCCAAAAGATTAACCTGTCCCAAAGGCAGGCTACAATTACTTATGTTAAAGAACCATAGCGAAAATCTAGAAGAAATTCAAGGCGGATTTGTGGAGATCAATGGTGGATTAGCCAGCCAGGTAGGTAGTGCGTTCACTCGAGGTCTGGGTTTATTTCCTCATATCGAAACGTTTTCCCGTGCGCGGCTGCATGGTCAGGTACATGGTGCTTCTATCCCGGGAGTGGCTGATCAAGAATAGATGCACGCCTTGACTGAACACTGGTTTTTATACAGTATTACTATACATAGCCCTTCTCATCATATGCTAAACATGTTACTTTATAATATACCGGTATACAATTATTCATTATTGCTTGATACACCAGACAACACTTCAGATGGAGACTCGTGAAGATACCAATGGCTGTCGTAAAAGGCGACTATGCTTGTCATAAGAGGCGACTGACGGGATCGGGTTGCCAGGCTCGCTGACTTTGTTAAATGAAGTCATAGTATCCCAATTGCGTTGATCGGTGATCATGATGTCAATCACTGGATTGTGTTGCCCAGACTGCATTATTTACAGACACACTGGGACCACAAACAAGTCCTGCAGTATGCAGACGGGAAGAAGTCACCACCAACTGGAAGTGCCGCAATCGAGAAGACTTCAGGCTTCGATTTTGAATCAACGAGAGAGAGAGAGAGAGAGAGAGAGAGAGAGAGAGAGACGTCACATTTCTTATCGATATCGTCTAAAAGTGTCTTCAGATTATATCAATATCAGGCGCCGTTGTCATTAACTATCATATTCACAAAAAAGTTGAAACATAATCTATTTCAATATTGACACAGATGCACTATTTTAATATCGACCAAGAGTCGTAAGATTCATAATCAATATCGACAGATGGTCGTTACATTTCAACACAATACTAAATTACAATGTCCACACAAACACATGCACGTGTACATAAAACTAAAGTTACGAACCTAAATTAGCTTCGCCACCATAGCTGAGATCATGAGTCCTTTTCCTAATACATGACTAATCACGAACTATTGACTCTAAAACTGTAAACTTTTAACGCTGTATGTCACCAGTCTGTCTACGTCGCCTTCAACCTTGTTCCCGGCGGAGCGGTCGTGTTACCAGGTCCCCGGTACCACAAGGCACCAAGCAGGAAGTGCGTACGTATAATATGCAGGCGCATACTGTCGACAATACGTTAGATGTATCGATTCTCGATTTGAGATGATATATTGGTGAGCTTGTCAATAATAAAATCATCGTGTATACTAATCACGCCGACGGCCTGAAGACTGAACCGGTGGGGATCTCGGTGCGGAATATAGGGACTTAACAAGAACCCAGGGAGCTGGTCCATATTGTTAAAACGGGGTGAAAATATTCGAAGAGAGCATACAAAACCACAACTGTCAATCGTCATATTGTTATTCAGGAAGTGAATGCACATAAAAACTTTGGTGTGTTGCTTTTTTATTCACAAATCGTGAATTTTGATATCGTTAAAAAGGAGGTAAAGCGTTCGCTTTGATTTTCATGCACAATGGGAGTTACCATGGTTACATGAACAGAAATGTCTTCTGTTTGGTACGCCAGGGGATAAGGAAAAGATGTCCATATTTCAAACCAGTAACAGGTCTTTAAAATTTCTGAATATGAACTGCGCCATGTCGTCTTTCAACACTTAGATCAGTTATTACCTATGACCTGACTCAAGTCTAGCTAGATGTTCATGCTATCGACCACCACTAGGTCTCTACCTATTATTTACAATGTGATGTGTACCACTGCTTATTATGGCTATTTTTTATTGAATGAATAACGTTCTACATGAACATACAAATCCATTTGATATTCATTTATGACGTCCAGATATCAGGAAGTATTTTGATCGCTTACAGTTTCTGTAAAGCTGCCAAATAAAAATAATCGTCGCACAGTACTTTTATCGGTGTACGATAAAAAGCGCAGATCAAATTCTCGGACAACACTTAGCAGTGTCTTTTTTTCAAACCGGTTAAATATTTGCAGTACAATTTAAACCATCAGATAGGAAATTTAATAGTCTACATCATTTTATAGGGGGGGGGGGGGGGGGGGGGGGGGGGGTACAGTGTCGCGCGAGCGCAATTCTCTTTTCAGATCTTATGAAAATGTGCTTCACAAAAATATCTCGGCATCCAGCGTCATCTCATTCTATCTCATTCTGTTAATTAATATTGTATATTGTAAAGCCGAGTTGGTTCATTGTTCGCTCGTTACGCTGAGGGTTCGATTCCCAATAAATCAATGAAATCTGCAATGCTGAATAAGATAATAGAGAAATATAGTGAAGCTATGGTTCTTCGTGACATCAAATGTTTCTTTTTTCAAACAAAACACTGTTTGAAATCTCTTCATGAAACTTTGAACTTACGTTGATGAGGCGCTTAATTTCTGCTCTTCGAAATGTATTGTTTATATTTCGAATTAAAGGCCATATATACAGAATAAAACAATGGGCTTAGTCTCCAGTGACAGATCAACCACTAACTGAGACTTTATCTTAGAAATGTACATTTCTTAAATAGCCATGTGTGTTTGTAAAGGAAAAGTTGATATCATATTATATTGTGACAATGCAAGGTTAGTTCCAAGGGCAGTATGACCCTTCGTATACATTCACATGTCGTAACCCCCATAATCCAGACTACCAATCAGCGACATCTAATCCAGCTGTTCTAAATTCACGTCCAGACTTACATTAGTCCATTGCTAATCACCAATCAGTGTTAATTAACTGTTGGTTTCACTTGTTAATGTTTCCACCTTTATTATCTTTTTACTTTCGTTGTTTTTACATGTATAAATATACATATATATGCTTTTTGCATCCTTGCTTTTATTTACCTGATGAAGGAGTAAGTATATTTTCCGAAACGATGTGTTCCTCATAATAAAAAAAACCCGTTTAAAACCATAAATTTTCTCTCTTATGTAAGCTAATTGCCAATGATTGTTTTTGCTGTTAACAAATACTTACTCCTTACTCAAAGTCGCGTGAAAAACATATTTCTGTAATTAAGCCAGTCAGACACGGGCTTTGTGCTTGCAAAACGTATTTATTGCGGCGTGTCTGGTAAATAGTGATTCGAACCCATCTGATTTGGATGTTTGTACAACGTTAACATTTGCGAAATCAATAATAGCAATCAATTAGAGTTACCCGCCCTTGGCTGTCTTGTTCACAGGTGGCAGTCTACTCAAAACATGACAGGTGTGAGATGTTACTACTGTCCCGAGTCACGAAAAAGATGATAAAAAGAAATCCTGAGTAAATTTTACAGTTAAACAATGGTTGCTAACAGAGCCCTAGAGGCGGCAAAAAGTGGTGACATTGCCATCCTACAGTCTCTGGCTGAGCCCGCGCGAGAGGCCGATAAACACGGAGCAACATGTTTACATTATGCTGCAAGGGGAGGGAACGTCAAAACAATTGAATTCCTTGTCAAGAAAAAAGGATTTAATGCGATCAAGAGAAGTAACGTTGGAGCTACGCCCGCCCACGATGCCGCAGCCACGGGGAATTTAGCAGCTTTGAAATGGATACTTGAAAACACCGAGTGTAAAGTTGACGATCAGGATGGTACCGGGGCCACTGTTCTTCACCTGGGTACCCGGTATGGTCACGCCCATATCGTCAGTTACCTCTTGGATGATACTAATTGTGATATTATGAAGAAGACGGCAACTGGCGCAATGCCTCTACATTTTGCCGTTGTTGGTGGGAACTTGGATATTGTCAAGATGCTCGTCAAAGAAGCCCCAAGGTATATAAACACAAATATCTCAGTACAGTTTGGTTGGTTTGGTTTGTTGTTTTACGCCGCACTCAGCAATATTTCAGCTATATGACGGCGGTCTGTAAAAAATCGAGTCTGGGCCAGACAATCCAGTGATTGATATCATGAGCATCGATCCACGAAATTGGGATTGTTGACATGCTTCAACCATGTCTGACCACCCGATCCCGATAGTCGGCTCTTACGACAAGCATATAGTACACTATTTAATGAATATAGATAATTAATGAAGATGGGAATGACTTCTGTCCGTATCCCCCCTCAAAAATGTTATCTGTCCTATGTATTGACTCTCAATTCTTTTAATTATGTAAAATGTTTAGGGGGAGGGTATGGCGGAAGTCTTACCTGCAGGTGTAATCCCAGGTAACATGTTTTCGAGCCTCACCTCTTTTCAAGCCCCTAAACAATACGTAACCATGCACTTAATGACATAATCAAGGTAGACGCTTCAAAGTTCACTGGAGACATCAAAGAGTTTGCCAACTTGTCGTTGAAGTTTTGTTTTGAATTAAGCGAATATATTCAATACAAATTAAGCTACACGAGGTAAGATATACAATATAAGTAATGAAAAGATTCCCAAAAACTTCCTTTTTAACGATTTCACATTTAATCAAACTTTATCTGGTGATAATTTTGCTTCAGAACAACGGTAAAGCACCGATAATATATCGGCCACTGTTTGGAAACCTCCTGTCTGTAATGTCATCATCATGTTGTCCATCTACTGTATTTTTAACTTGTCTGTCATGGAGGGGCTCGAAATCAGGTGACAGTAACATGATGGCACTTGACTGACTCATCTCGCTTGGCGAGGCATTATCACGATTAATGTGACAAGATGTGGTCATTTGACTATCCGGTTGTAAACAGAAATATATGTTCTCAAAGGCAACACTTAATTTTAGTGTATTGCAATTGTTATTAGACAGGTAATGAGAAATACTTCTTGGGGTCTCGAAAACACAGCCTAAGTGCTTAATCATTGTAGTCAGGTAAAGTGTTTTGATAACAGAAAAGTAGTGTTCCTTTAATTAATTGTATGACTTAATCAATGTAATGATAAACATCGGGCTTGGAGAATTCCAGATCAGAATAGCTAGGTCCATCATTAGTTTGTTGTTTAACGCCTCAGCCAGGAATGTTCCAGCTACATGATGTCGGTCTGTAAATGATCGAGTCTTGACCAGACAATCCAGTGATTGAAAACATGGCCATCGATCCACGCAATTGGGATCGATGACATGCATCAACCAAGTCAGCGAGCCTGACACCCGATCCTGTTAGTTGCCTCTTACGACAAGCATAATCGCCTTTAAGGCAAGCATGCTTTGCTGAAGACCTATTCTACCACGAGTCAGGTCCATCGTACCATGCTTGATGTTAGAGTCAACTGAAATATCAGGATAAGGTTGTACAGCTTGTTGCTTTGGCTGCCATTGGTTTGCATGGTCCAAGCTTGATTACACCAAGGCTGAAATATTGCTGACTGTCATAAAACAACATTCACTCACTCATGCTTCTGATATAATTATGTTTCCCAGGTTAAAAGTAGGACAACTGAGGGGACTAATTTAGTTATTGTTATACCTCCATGAGCAGATACAGAGTGGGGGTGCGGGGGTGCGCACCCCCCCTTTTTATTTCGAAAAAAATCTTTATTTCTGTATAAATTACCACCAAAGACAATAAATAGATCTTAATTGTGCACCCCCCTTTTCAAAAAAGCTGTATCCGCCCATGTACCTCTAATAAGAATCTTGGCATTCCATTGGCTAATCAGTACCACTTACAACATATAAACAGCAATTGACGAGAACAAAAGAACAGTTTTGTTTTTTTGTCAGCTCGTTGTCAGTTCATTATAAACATAGTTTACTGTATGTGAAAACATGGACAAGAGTAATTATTTGTGCCATGTCACTATTTCCTTTATTCCTGCGACCCGTGAAGATCCGGGGTAGAATTGGTCTTCAGCAACCCATGCTTGTTGTAAAAGGCGGCTATGCTTGTCGTAAAAGGCGACTAACGGGATCGGGTGGTCAGGCTCGCTGACTTGGTTGATGCATGTCATCGATCCCAATTGTGTGGATTGATGTTCATGATGTAAATCGCTGGATTGTCTGGTCCAGACTCGATTATTTACAGACCGCCGTCATATAGAATATTGCTGAGTGCGGTGTTAAACAACAAACCAACAAACCTTTATTCCTGCACAAGGCACTCCTATCTGTTCCCCTGGCACTTGTAGTGTATGATGCATGGCAAGAAAATGAAGGACTCAACCAGAATATAAATATGAAATCTAAATTAGTCAAGAAAGTGAAGGGTGACACTTCAAGATTGCAAATTTGGGAGTGGGTTTTAAAGTGCAAAGAGGTCAACAAGCAAAGCCTACTAAAATAGGCTATAGGCTTGTGCTTGAAGATGGACCATTGCTAACAACACTATCATTGACTATAGGGAGCCACTATGATAGTTACAATTGTCAAGTTTGCTAAACAGGACAAGGACAAGTGAAGAATAACTTACATTATGCTTATATTAATCTAATGAACTTTGTTTTCTTTAAATATTTATCCACCATGTCCACAGAAAGTTATAAAGTTTGTTTGATGCCATCCTGTGGAATATCCGAAACATGACTATGTTACCATGGTTATTCACCATGTGCACTTTAAGTTACCGTGGTTACAATGCCCATCAAGTACATGGTCCTAATCAAATTAGCTTTGGTAGTGAACTCACAACCATGACAACATGGTTTTAAACACGAACAGCCTGTTCACACAGTGGTAGTCAAACACAGAATTTACACAGCTAACTTGAGAGAGTGACATTTAGCATGTTTAGCTGGACAGGCACAGATTCTAGTCAGGTGCACATGGTGATACGGACAATATCTAGTCAGGTGCATTCTGCACATTGTGATACGGACAATATCTAGTGTGGTGCATTCTGCACATGGTGATACGGACAATATCTGGTCAGGGTCATTCTGCACATGGTGATACGGACAATAACTAGTCTGGGGTGTTCTGCACATGGTGACACGGACAATATCTAGTAGGTGCATTCTGCACATGGTGATACGGACAATAGCAAGTCAGGGGCGTTCTGCACATTGTGATACAGACTATATCTAGTGAGGTGCATTCTGCACATGGTGATCAAACTTTGTCTAGTCAGGTGCATTCTGCACATGGTGATACGGACAATATCTAGTGAGGAGCGTTCTGCACATGGTGATACGGACAATATCAAGTCAGGGGCGTTCTACACATTGTGATACCGACAATATCTAGTGAGGTGCATTCTGCACATGGTGATACGGACAATATCTAGTGAGGAGCTTTCTGCACATGGTGATACGGACAATATCAAGTCAGGGGCGTTCTACACATTGTGATACCGACAATATCTAGTGAGGTGCATTCTGCACATGGTGATACGGACTATATCAAGTCAGGGGCGTTCTACACATTGTGATACGGACAAAATCTAGTGAGGTGCATTCTGCACATGGTGATACAGACAATATCTGGTCAGGGGCGTTCTGCACATGGTGATACGGACAATATCTAGTGAGGTGCATTCTGCACATGGTGATACGGACAATATCTTGTCAGGGGCATTCTGCACATTGTGATACGGACAATATCTAGTGAGGTACATTCTGCACATGGTGGTCAAACAATGTCTAGTCAGGGGCGTTCTGCACATGGTGACATGGACAATATCTAGTGAGGTGTGTTCTGCACATGGTGATGCGGACAATATCTAGTAGGTGCATTCTGCACATGGTGATACAGACAATATCTGGTCAGGGGCATTCTGCACATGGTGATTATGTAACGGACAATATCTAGTGAGGTGCATTTTGCACATGGTGATACAGACAGTATCTGGTCAGGGGCATTCTGCACATGGTGATTATGTAACGGACATTATCTAGTGAGGTGCATTCTGCACATGGTAGTATATGGACAATATCTAGTGAGGTGCATTCTGCACATGGTGATACGGACAATGTCATGTAGAGGCAGTGAGGCCCAGTCATGATGAGTGTGACTGGTAGTTCGTCTCATAATATTTCAGTGACTTTTGATAGTTTATGAGGTAAATTGATTTCTTGTTATCATAAGTAACTGAATATCATTAATTCAAGCCTGTTTAATTTCAGCATCGGTGAATTTGTCAGTAAACGTGTATGTAGCCAGCAGGGCTTGCTCCTTTTAAAAGTTACCTGCCCTTCTCCAAACTAACTGGCCTACAGCTAAATGGTTGAGGCCGCGAAGTGGCCAAACTTGAGGTCGCGTAGCCACCCCTAAAACATTTTTTCCTGCACTCTGAGATTAAACCTTGGCTTCCATTTACTTCATTTCATGGCGATTAATGATAAAAACAAGTTGTTGTACACAACATTATAACATGATGTCAGGTTGTCATTCTACTGAGATGATCCAGTTAAAAAAATTAAACATACATGGAGAAAAAATTTACTAGCCACACAGGCCATCTACTTTATGTTTCAGCATGCCCTTTGTAATTTTAACTGGCCATTGGCCAACATGCCAGCAGTTAAATCGACCCATGATTTCAAACGTTTTACCATTGGTTAGAACCATCTGGGTTAGAACTAGTCCCATCAACCTCAGATACTGGTCAACTAAATGGATCAGCTGGTCAGTTGTTACTTGGTTGATAGCATCTCAACATGACACGACAGTGTGGGTCTTTGCAATAATATCAATCACTGGATTGTCCTTTCCAGAATCGGTAATTTACAGTCCCCCACCACTTTGCTGGAATATTGCAGAGTGCAGCTTTAATCAAACAGAATCATATGTACCATGATGTACAGTAAACAACGATTATAATAAACAGGCTTATTCGGAACTGAGGCATATGAGGCACTATTTCTTCGGTCCCGGCCAGTGGCTGTATATTTTATCATATAAAAT